AAGACTGTACGGGCGGCAGCGGGCGGTCTGATCCTCGCCTCCGGCAAGAGGGGAGACCGCGCGTCCCCCTGTCGCATTGTGCCGCTGCCGCTCGCGGGATGCGGACGAGTCTGTTGAGTGTGTTGTGCCGTCTGCCGTCTCCTCTTCGGGCCATGTAAGTCTCTGCCATGCTGTGTATCAATGAGATAATTGATCCTAGTTATTGCATTGATAGATACAAAAACCGGCGCTGAAACGTTCACTTCAATTAATGGCGATCGTCGTCGTCATTCATTTGGCTGCGGCAAATGAAAGTACTACCGGTAGCGTCTTTTAGCGTCATGCCTTGGAACGAGGCTCAGGTAAATATGTGTAATAGAATGGATTCAGGGTAGTAGGACGTAGGTGCATATTGCATTGCTAAATGAACATACACAGGCATCTAAGCTGGAAATGACTGAACTGAATTTACTCAAAGGCTCACCAATATTCTTTGGCTGGGACTGCAGTCTAGACCTAAGAGTAGAATTCGTGAGCCTTTGAGTAGGTATTGTTGATCAGTATATTACTGTTATTACATAGAAATATCCGCCTTGTTACAGGAACGCAGGATGCAAGACTGGACAGGCGACGGGCGACTCAACCGCTCAAGATGTGTAGAATGTGGATGGCGGAGGAGCGGCGGCCGAGGACGTGTGACGTGATAATATCTGAAGCGTGGCTGACTCGAAAAAGTGTAGACTTATCTTCATGTAAATATGTTTTTCGGAAGTCCTCGGTTTATATTTCTCGGAGCCTCAGCTGCAACCTGCGAATGCCTAGAGCTCCATATATGTATACCCGGCCGCCTGTGGTTGGCGGCTGCTCCATTCCTGGCAATGAAAAATGGCTAAATGTGCTTGTTTTAAGTAAAAAATATACCACCAGAGACCGTACAAATGTGTTTGCTAGGGTTTGATCCTTACGGATTTATATATCGCTCATTAAGGAAGAGCCTCAAAATCCTTGAGGATTGTCGCCAAGATCCTTAAAGATTTTGCTACAAATCTTTAAGGAAAAGCCACAAAGTCCTTAAAGATTATTACCAATGTCCTTAACCCGCGCCCGGCTGGGGGTCCTGGATTTCCACGCCCTGCTGGGGGGGGGGGGTGTTTGAACACCCCCCCTTGTAACTCGGCTCCTGGGCCACGTAGCGATACGCGGAAGGCGGCGTTCGAAAGAGCGTCAAAAATAATGACGAAATCACTTCGGTCAATTTTTTGCTCAGGTCAAAGGTCAGGTCACCAAAGGTCATTGAAGGCAAAATTTCGCCGATTTCCAGGTCGAATGGCGAAAATTTCCAAGAAGCCAACGCATAACTCGGGAACCAATAGAGCTACAGCGCCGCGGAAAAGCGCATTCGATAGCCCTATTAACGCCCTTTCTGAGTAATACTCTCAGATTTGACCTAGCGTCAACGGTTTTGCCTCCAGGGGGCAAAAACTGCAAAAATAGCCGATTTTTTCGGAAACAGTTTTTCTGCAATAACTTTTGACCCAAGCCCTGTACGAGCTTACTTTTACCGGCATCGTGTTCCTCTCGTCAAGACGCATCGAATGAACTATAACTTGACCTTGAAAGGTCAACTTGAAAATTTGACCTCAGGTCAAGGTCATGACCTGACCGGAAAGGGTCATGTTGCATATCAGTCGATCCGTATCGTCGAGCTGAACACATCTAAGGCGTTTTCATCGCTCTAGCATGACTCTATCAAAAGTTATTTGCGAAAAACTGTTAGATACCATTCGTGACCTAAGATGACCTCAGGGCATAAACAAGGGTCACGGACACCATTTTCATGTTCAGTGTGTCTAAACCACTTGTAATTCGGTGTTTGGGAGTGTTTATAATGTCTTTCATCCAAAAGAGGCGCATTTCAATTTTCTCCCATTGACTTATAATGGGGAGGTCGCAAAATTGACCTGACCTTAGGTCATCGATATCAAAATTCTGAGATATACATTTTGTACATGCTATTGCTCTTAGCAATCGCTGAAAGTTTCAAAGCGATCGGTCACTCGGTGTAGCTATGACAGACATTGAAACTTTTTATGAGGTGAGGTCACTTCAAGTGACCTGGTTACCTGACCTTGAATGACCTTGGTCTGAAATTTTCACAACATGTGTAGAATTGATGTATGATAAGGTGTACCAAAAACGGCGGCGCTCCGCGCCGCCGTTTTTGAGATATTCGCGAAAAACCACAAGGGGGGTGTTCAAACACCCCCCCCAGCAGGGCGCGGGTTAAAGACATTGCTAGAGATCCTTAAGGATTTAGCTAAAAATCCTTACGGATTTTCCGCAGAATCCTTAAGGAATTTCTAACAAAATCCTTAAGGATTGTGTATCAATTTCGTACAAGGATTTTGTTAAGGATCGTCCTTAAGAAATGCATAGGACTGTCCTTAACCTTCCAGGCGGTGGGGGGGGGGGGGCAATTTTTTGCCCCCCCTTTAGTTTTTTCGATATATCTCGAGAACCGCTGCGCCGATCGTCACCAAACTTTCAGTACCCTCCCGGGAGCAGCTAGCGCACATGGTGACCAAAAATTTTTCCAATGGCTATGATAGGTTGGCCGCTAATGACGTCAGAGTGACGTCATTTTTGCCATTTTCGACCCAAAAAAAGGTTTCGCTGGAAGAGCTGTCAGGCCTACAGCTTTAGAGATACATAAAAATGTTTCAGACATAAAAGGTGTGGAATCAAAAGGGCTACAAAACTGCAATTTCGATTTTTCGATTTTTTTGGATTTTGACCCCCAAAAATCAAAAAATAGATTTTTCGAATATAATAGCCGAAAAATCCAAAAAGTTTTTTGAATTTCGAAAAAACCGGAATATATGTGATAGTCCCTACCACCTTCTATCTACATACCAAATTTGAGATCGATACCTCTTTTTTTGGCCAAGTTATAGCGAAAAAACTGTTCAAAATTGATGACGTCAAATTTTCAAACTCAATTTTTAGCAATTCTAGACCTCGTAGCGCAAAACAAAGACCACCATTAGACTCCCCGTGACGAGCTGCATCGATTCGATACCCATTTTATGCAGAAATATCAACTTTGAAATTTGACCTTTTTTGACCTGACCTTGACCTGACCTCCACCAGAAAGTGACCTTAACCGTACCTGATGGTCTTATAACCAACACCATTGAGTTGGAAATGAAAAACTGGCCATAAAACATGCATCGCATAACCTTAGTAAAGTTGGGTTCATGTGGTGACCCAGGGTGACCTTTGGTGACCTGACCTGGTATGACCGGTGACCTCTAATAGCAACATATGTACTAGACAACTGACGCCTCATCGCTGATTTTCGACAAAATGCGTTTTACTCGGTGTTATAGCGCTTTCCCTAGAAGCCCCGTGAACGGTGAAACATTTTGTCTTTGACCTGACCTGTGACGTCATCGGTGACCCCGAGGTCAATGAAATTTGGTTTCCCTCGACAAATTTGACAGGGCTATCGAACGCCGTTTGAATTTTCCGGATCCGTCCAGTAGTTTCGGAGATACGGGGGGGGGGGCAAAAAAATGCCCCCCCCCCCCACCGCGCGGAAGGTGGCTGGTAGGCCCACCGCCTGCCGGGTTAAGGATTTTTTCACTAGGGAATTACCCGTCGGCTGGGGTGGAGACACGTCTGCCATGCGGCAGATAGCATTCCAGTCCAACTTGAAGTACGCCAACCAGTCACGTCCGAAGAGCACCGGGCCGGTGCCTTCCGTCACGATCAGCGGTAGGTTCACCGAAACAGAACCATATTGCACGCACACTATCGCCTCGCCCCGTAGGGCCAACCGCTGACCACCATAGGTGCACAATTTACGCCGCGAAGGAGCTATCGCCGGACTCCCCTTTGGGAACAGCCTGTTAAACTGTTCCTCCGAACACACAGAGACCGCGGCGCCTGTATCCACCTCCGCCCGCACTGCACGGCCGTTTAGTTTGATATCCACGTACAGGGGCGGGCGGCTCTTTTTTGACTGCGGTGACTGCGGTGACTGGTAGAACAGCGTGTAGACCTCTTCAGCAGCGTCGTCTGCGGGGTCCGCTCCCTCCGCTGGTGATGCCGGAGCGCCGAACCCGTCGTCCTCCACTTGATCCACCCAGCCGCGACCCGCTGCGCGGCATGCATCTCGAACGTGTCCCATCTCACCGCACTGGAAGCAGCGGCGATTTCTCGCCCAGCACCTGCTCGGCGAATGTCGGCGGCTCCGACAGCGGTGACAAGGAGCGCCTTGCTGCTGCTCCCTCGGTCCCCGCCGATCCCGTGTCACGGTACCTCCCCTCCGACTGGGCGAGTCCATCGCGGCCGGGCGCCGGCCCTGACCGCCGGGCGCTGGACCACGCCCACCACCTGCCCGAGGCGGCGCTGCGCGCTGCGTGCTGCGCTGCTCCAGCCGGCCGACCACCGCCAGCGGCCGGGCGGCCGGCACAGCGGCGGACTCAGCGCGGCCAATCTCCTGCGCCTGAGCCTCTGCTGCCTCGCTGGTGCAGGCCAGCGCCAGAGCTGACTCCAGGGTCAGGCTCGTCTGGCTGAGGAGCCTGGCTTGCAGTCTGGTGTCCCGAATGCCACACACCAGTCGGTCTCGGAGCATCTCCGGCAGGGTCTCGGACGGAAACTGACACGGCTTTGCCAACCTGCGTAGCCTGGCTGCGTACTCGGTGACCGATTCGTTCTCGTCTCTGCAGCACGAATGAAAGCGGAACCGAGCGACGATCTCAGATGACTTCGGCTCAAAGTGACCTTGCAGCACAGTGACTAGCTGCTCGTACTCCAGGTCGCTGACCGTCTGCGGCGCTACCAGATCCTCCAGCAGTGCAAATGTCTTAGGTCCTACCACACTGAGCAGAGTCGCACGTCTCTTAGCTTGGCCAGAGACACCCGTAGCCACCAGGTACTGTTCCAGCCATCTGGCATATGTCCCAAACGACTCTTGACTGGGATCAAACTCCCTCACCAAACCACTCAGACTGGCCATGGCGCACGCCGCGCGGGTTCAGTCTCGTCGCCACTGTTATAACGTGAGGTGACGTCCGCCACACACGCTGGCTCGATCCAAACTGGTGTATTTGGCCCAGACCATCTCGGCCGGTCACCGCACAGCCGCAGGCGACCAATCCCCGTCCGTCCCGCACCGGTGACGTCATAGGTCATCATATGACGTCACCGGTGACGTCATCTCACATCCTAACAAGCGAAGTAACTCGATTTTGCTACTCTCTTGCTCATGCTGATAAATGACATGCCATAACACATGGTCTTTTACCTTGTATTGTGAATAGTGATCCAGTTTTCTTTCGATTTGGTCGCCTATCGACCGTCCTCCCAGCGTGTGACTTCTGTCTGACCTGCTGTGTTCCAGACTCGTCGCATGGTGACCGCGACGGAGAGATCGAAGACGAGGAGCAGCACTGCGATGAGGAGGAGCAGCCATCAGAGGGTCCGGCTCGCCCACACGGGCAGAGGTGGCAGCTGATTGAACAGCAACATCAGCAGCGGTGGAAGGAGCTGGAACTACAACATCAGCAGCTATGGCAGGAGCTGGAGAACCCAGGAAACGAAGAAAGAGTGAGGATGGACAAGGAGCATGAAGAGGAGCGTCGACATCTGGAGCAGAAACACGGCCAGGAGTGGCAGAACTTGGACGAACGTCACTATGAGGAGCGCATTGAGCTTCATCAGCAGCACAAAGAGGACACTGGATGCCTGAACATGCCGACTGAGGACCAGTTAAGGCAGCTGGACCTCTCCCACCAGAAGCAATGCGAAAAACTCCGGCGGACACTGCGGAAACAGAGGCTAGAGCTAGAGCTCAGACACCTGAGAGAGTCACAAGAGCTGGAGGAGAGGCTCCCGAGCGTCCGGTTGGAGGAGTTGGATCGGCTGCTGGAGGAGTGCAGGAGGGGACGTCAGCAGCTGGGGGAGGAGTTAAAGGAGCAGCTTCAGGAGCAGGAACACGATGATCAGCAGCGTGTCACCAGGAGCCTGCTGGCGCGTCACCAGGAGGAGCGTGAACAGCTCCTTCGGAAGCACGAGGAAGACACCAGATGCTTGAACATGGAGATCGATCAGCAGCCACGAGCCAGGCTTCTGCGGCGGTTCCTGAAATGGAGAGGACAAAGGAAGCTGAACAAGAGGCACCGAAAACAGTCGAAACAACTTGATCGCTCCCACCAGCAGCAGTGGGGAAATCTCCAGCAGGCATTGCGGCAGCAGTGCCAAGAGCTGGAGGAAAGGCATCCAAACACAGGCTCTGAAGAGGAGAAGAATCGGCCCCCGGAGGAATGGAGCAGGAGACGTCAGCAGCTGCAGGATGAGCTGCAGAAGGAGCTGGAGCAGCTTCAGGAGCAGCAGTGCCCTGAGGAAGGTGAGTGACAGGCTCCGATGTCAGATAATACGCAACTTTATATGTAAACAGTAAAACGTCAAACGATTCGTAGGCCTAAATAATGCACCTAATACCAAAGTGGTTGGAAAAGATATCTAGATATTTTATCATTTCCAAAAAAGAGAACTATGTTCCTTTTTTCATTTAAACATTATCACCAAATTTTCAGAGGATCGAGATTTCCTATCAGTCCCTCTGCAGTCTGCTCTGTAAGTTTGGTGCTTCTATATGTCATAGTGGCCAATCGTCGAGGGGTGTATGTACACCCCTTCACTATCCTGTTCGCCTGCGTTATAAACATGCCATGGCCAGGAAAAAGTTATATACAAACTAAGTAGTGTTAAAATTGTAACTTCTCTCTGACCTGCTGTGTTCCAGACTCGCCGCAGGGTGACCGCGCCGGAGAGATCGAAGACGAGGAGCAGCACTGCGATGAGGAGGAGCGACCATCAGATGGTCCTCCTCGCCCAAGCCAAGGGCGATGTCATGAGCTGGAACCGCGAGGGGCCGCACACAGTCGCAGCGATCTGAACAAGAAACACACAGAGGAGCGTCGGCAGCAGGAGCAGGAGCACAACCATCACCTGCAGAGCCTGCTGGCGCGTCACCAGAAGGAGCGTGAGCAGCTCCTTCGGCAGCACGAGGAGGCCTCTCGAGGTGTGAACGTGCCGGCCGAGAGACAGTCGCTGGTACTCAGAGCTCCGGCCGAGAGACAGTCGCTGGTACTCAGAGCTCGACAGAGAGACAGTCGCTGGTACTCAGAGCTCGACAGAGAGACAGTCGCTGGTACTCAGAGCTCCGGCCGAGAGACAGTCGCTGGTACTCAGAGCTCCGGCCGAGAGACAGTCGCTGGTACTCAGAGCTCCGGCCGAGAGACAGTCGCTGGTACTCAGAGCTCGACTTCAGCTGGAGCGACAGCAGCTGGATCAGAGGCGGCGAGGGGAGCTGGAATCTCTGGAGCGGAGTCACGCACTACAGCTGGAGGCGCTGATACTGAACATACGGCGTGAATGGGTCCAACTAGAAGAACAGCACCGACAAGAGTCCAGGGAGCTGGATTGCCGCGCAAACGACTGAGAGAAGCATCGACTGAAGACGAAGTTTCCGAGGCACCACGAAGGATGTCCGAGGCACCACGAAGGATGTCCGAGGCACCACGAAGGATGTCCGAGGCACCACGAAGGATGTCTCAGGCACGGTGAGTCCCGGGCGCCGCTGGGAGATCCCCCACCGGGGTGGCCATACAGTCACACAGTGGCGCCGCTGGGAGATCCCCCACCGGGGTGGCCATACAGTCACACAGTTTGAGCTACTTTGGTAAGGGCGCATGTGTTTTTGATAGGTAGAAAGAAGGGGGAGTAAAACGAATCGTCATGGTGAGGGTGAAACGGTTACTGCTGTGATGAATCTAAAAATATATCCGTCTGGTCAGAATTGCATGACAGGGCTTACGTCTTGTTTCAGCTCCAACATCACCATCAACCCCAGCATGACCATCACCATCAGCAGCACCATCACCATCACCATCACCATCACCAGCACCACCGGCTCCGGGATCGATCCCACCACCAGCATGTCCGTAAGTGTCGAATCATAAAATGACCATGCACTTGTAAAACGTATTCCTATCGTCGTTATTTTGACCAGCCTGTTCGTCTCACTTCTTGTTCTTACTGAGCATAACACGCTGATCTAAAAACGTACTGACTGCTTTTCAGATCATCTACCAGCACCATCACCAGCACCACCACCAGCACCACCGCCAGCACCACCGGCTCCGGAACCAGGCCAGCCACCAGTCTCCGTGAGTGTATATGTTACGGGTCATATGCTAACTTGGGCAGTATGCAAACTGCCCGGGCAGTATGCATACTACCCAACAGCCCGGGCAGTATGCATACCGCCCGGGTAGTATGCATACTACCCGACCCCTTGGGCAGTATGCATACCGCCCGGGCAGTATGCATACCTCCCGGGTAGTATGCATACCACCCACCTTTCTTCTCACGGGCAAGATGTTTACTCGGGCAGTATGTTGACTACTCTTCGTGAGGCTTGTTAATGCAATAACTCGTGTATATATGTATGTGAATGACAAACGTTTTAACCTTCCGGGTGGTGGGGGGGGGCATTTTTTGTCCCCCTTAGTTTTTTTTCGATATATCTCCAGAATTCCGCTGCGCCGATTGCCATCAAACTTTCAGTACCCTCCCGGGATCGAAGCTATTAAACATTGTGACCAAAAAATTTCCAAAGGCTATGATAGGTTGGCCGCTAATGACGTCGGAGTGACGTCATTTCTGCCATTTTCGACCCAAAAAAGGTTTCGCGGGAAGAGCTGTCAGGCCTACAGCTTTATAGATACATAAAATGTTTAAGAATAGGTATAAAAGGTGTCGAATTAGAGAGCTACAAAACTGTTATTTCAGATTTTTTAAATTTTTAGATTTTGACCCCCTAAAATCGAAAAAGTAATTTTTTGAATATAATAGGCAAAAAATCCAAAAAGTTATTTTTTTTTGAATTTCAAAAAACGGAAAATATGTGATAGTCCCTACCGCCTTCTATCCACATACCAAATTTGAGATTGATTCCTCTTTTTTGGCAAAGTTATAGCGAAAAAAGAACTGTTGAAAATTGATGACGTCAAATTTTGTCGTCGTCGTTTCATTTTGTTCAGTTCACGCTTCACAATGACAATGACTTGTTGGCCACTGGTTATTCAACAATGGATTTGGGAAAAATGAATTTCAACACTTTATTCCAATCCTCATTCCATCCTACGATCGATCAATCACGTTTGACGACAAAAATTCTTCTCAGTCGATCTATAGTTATCTAGAGAGCCATTTATATTCTTAATGTGGACATGGATTACACAACTTTAAGTCGGAAAGCGGGCAGTATGCAAACTGCCCAAGCTTTTGGGCGGTATGCATACTGCCCAAGGGGTCGGGTAGTATGCATACTACCCGGGCGGTATGCATACTGCCCGGGCTGTTGGGTAGTATGCATACTGCCCGGGTAGTTTGCATACTGCCCAAGTTAGCATATGACCCGTAACATATACATCATTGAATGCATCCTGAACACGTAAAATTTGTTCTTTTCTCAATGTTAAAAATGATTTATGGTCTATATTGTTTTCATAATCAGATCGATAGCAATAATACCATAATGCCACAATAATAACGTATTCCGTCAGGATTTTTTTGACCGTAGGACAGGTTGAGCGGTGAATCCACTGTATTTTATAGGATATCTGTCGGTTTGCGGTCAATTTGTATTATCTCCCTTTCAGGTCATCTACCAGCACCACCACCAGCACCACCGGCCTCAGCACCAAGCCCGCCACCAGCCTCCGTGAGTATCTTATCACAAATTGACTATAAAATCAAATATCTTTCATTTAAGTCGTAAGTTTGAGACACATTCATAGTTTGTTAACCCGCGCCGGGCCTAGAATAGAAAGGGGTGTTTGAACACCCCCCTTGCGGTTTTTTGCAGATATCTAAAAAAACGGCAGCGCGGAGCGCCGCTGTTTTTGCAACACCTGTTCGTGCATCTTTTCCGCACATGTTGTGAAAATTTCAGACCCAGGTCGTCTTAGGTCAGGTCACCAGGTCACGCCAAGTGACCTCACCTCATAAAAAATAAGAATGTTCGTCATAGCTACATCGATTGATCGATTGCCTTAAAACTTTTAGCGATTAATAAGATCAACCTTATCTATAAAATGTATATCTCGGAATTTCGATATCGATGACCTAAGGTCAGGTCAATTTTGCGGCCTCTCCATTATAAGCCAACGGGAGAAAATTGAAAAGCGTCTGTTTTGCACGAACGCTATTCTAGACACTCTCATACATCGAGATGTAGATAACATTGACACACTGAACCGGAAAATGGCAACTGTGAGTGTGACCCCTCTTTATGTCCCCGAGGTCATCTCAGGTCACTTACAGAATCGAACAGTTTTTCACTAATAACTTCTGATAAAGGCGTGCTAGAGCGCTGAAAACGCCTTAGATGTGTTCAGCTCGACGTTACGGATCGACTGATATGCAACATGACCTTTTCCGGTCAGGTCATGACCTTGACCTAAGGTCAAATTTTCAAATTGACCTTTCAAGGTCAAATTATAATTCATTCGACGCGTCTCGACGAGAGGAACACGATGCTGGCAAAAGTAATGTCATGGCTCTTTTGAGTCAAAAGTTATTGCTTTTCGTAAAAACGACCATTTTGGAGTTTTTGCCCTCTGGAGGCTAAACCGTTGACCTGAGGTCAAATCTGAGAACATTACTCAGAAAGGTCTGTAAAAGGGCTATCGAATGCGCGTTTCCACGGCGCTGTAGCTCTATCGGTTCCGGAGATAGCCGTTGGCAGTTTCCAAAATGTTGAAATAGTCAACATTTTACCTTTGGTGAGCTCTGGCGACCTGACCTTTGACCTGACCCAAAATATGACTGAAGTGTTTTCGTCCTACGTTATTTTGATTGTCGCTTACCGCGTGTCGCTACGTGGCCCAGGAGCCGAGTTAACCCGCGCCCCGCTGGGCTATTCAGCCATACGCGCCCTGCTGGGGGGGGGGAGATTCTGCCCCCCCTTGTCTAACTTCTGAACCGATGGTCGTAGAAGGACGGGGAAAACGGCAATCGAAAGCTCTCAACAAGGCGGATCCAAAGAGCCCAAATTTTTTTTGCTTAAGTAGGTCAGAGGTCAGGTCAAGGTCAGGTCAAGGGTACAAGATGCAAGTTTCTACAGTATCGGCCTTGCACCGTAGTTGCCGAAGAATGGACTGAGACTGTTTGACCAAAACGTGTTCTTAGACTACCAAGACAATATTCGTTGCATACAATGTCATTCAAAGGTCAAGGTCAAGGTCAGGTCAGGTCAGGTCAGGTCACCAAAAACAAAATATAAAAAGGGCATGTGCGACACATGTTTTATGGGTCATTTTACTCATAGAATTCAATAGGCATACTCAATAAGTGATATGGACCACCTCTGGATGAATTTCAGGTCGAGGTCAGGTCAAGGTCAGGTCAAATGAGGTCAAATTTTGAAGTTGGTTGTTAAGGCCTAAAAAGGTGTCTATCCGATGCAGTTTTTCACTGCAAATCGAATGGTGCTATTTTTGTTTCCGTACGAGGTCTAGAACTTCCAAAAAAAATCATTTTTCAAAATTTTGTGTGTCGTGACGTCATAAAATTTTGAATAACTCCCACATTTTTGAACCGATTCTTCTAAAAATTAGTATGTAGGTGCACATACACCACTTCTCTGACATATATTCCGGTTTTTTGATACACTCAAAATTTTGGATTTTATAATTATTTTCCCAAAAAAGTCAGTTTTTTTAGAAAAAATGTGGGCCAAAATCCAAAATTTTCAAAAAACCGAGATAGCCATTTGATAGACAAAGTAGAATCACGTATCACTTTTTTGATACGTCTTGATTCCTTTAAAAATGACGATGTTAGCGGCGTTTGAAATTTTGCCGTTTTTGAGGCGAAAATGGCGAACATGACGTCACAAAAACGTCAATTTCTCAAAACATTTCCGACGGATTTCGCCCAGATTTTCAGGGAACGTGTCTAATTGATGTATGATAAGGTACTGAAAGTTTGACGTCGCTGGCGTAACGCGTTTAGAAGTTATTGGCGAAAAACGGGAGGGGGCAGATTCTGCCCCCCCAGCGGGGCGCGGGTTAAAAGGGGGGGGGGGTGTTCAGACCCCCGCGACCCGGCGTGGAATCTCAGAGCACCGGCCCGGCGCGGGTTAATCATCACTAAATTTATATCGATCAACCATACATCATATTGTAACAAATATTCCATTAGGAATGCTTATGAGCGCAAAACGTGTTAAGAAAAAAGTGAACGCAATATTTTTCTTACATTGAATAACAATTTGAACTCAACGTGTGCTGATTCTTTTTTTAGGTCATCTACCATCAACACCACCAGCACCACCGGCCTCAGCACCAAGCCCGCCACCAGCCTCCGTGAGTACAGACGCGATATCGGCGGGCACACTGTCTCCCGCTGTTCTCGTCTATAGAAAATAAACTAGGGTGACCCGCGTGCTCCGCAACGCGAAAAGGGGTACTTACGATCGGCGGGTGTTCGGTTGTTCTTGTGTCGGTTCGGTTATCTATCCATTTCGGTCGATTGCTTTTTGACGGCTAAACGTTTTGGTTTGTGGAAAAAATATCCACCGCATCGAGGTGCCCGTGTCTGATAAGCATGCTTTCCACTTCAGAATCTGTCAAATGTGCTTTATAATTGAGGTGCGTAGTTTTAACCCTCGCCGGACCTATTGGTTTTCTACATACGCGCCGGCCGAGGGGGGGGGCGGGTACGACCCCCCCTCGCCGTTTCGCCCCTGGTGGAGCTAGCGCGTCGCGGAAAAAACGAGCGTGTGCGCCGTTACGAGACGCAGAGATTGGTACCCGATTTTAAGGTCCTGGGTCAACCGGTGACCTCTGAGGTCAGGTCAAGTGCCCCAGGGTACGGTTCAGTTTTTGGTGAATAACTTCGCCAAAAACGGCCGCAGAGCGCCGATTTTGGCAGCATCGTGTTCGCCTCGCTCAGGCGCGTCGAATGATATACTTTTTGTCCGGGTCAGGTCAACTTGGGGTGTTGACCTCAGGTCAAGGTCAGGTCAGCACCCCCAGGTCACGAAGTTGGTCGAAAGAGGTCATGTCGCATATCATTCGATTTGGCAGGCCTTCCTGAGTCCATTGGTGCCTTTCTCGACTCGCTAGCTCAATTTGATCAAGAGTTATTGACGAAAAACTAATTTGACCTTGATGACGTCATAAATGACGTCACGCAAGGTCAACATTGCAAAAGTGACGCATCTAACCTTGCAAGGAGTGCATCAAATCACGATTCCGTGTGCTTGAGATAGTTGGAGATCGTTCCCGGCGCCAGAATAGCAGTTTGAATTTTTCCCCATTGACTTATAATGGTGAGGTCACGAAAATGACCTGACCTCATATGACCTTTAGGAAAAATCCGAGATATACAAGTTGTGGGACTCATAATGGATACTAGATCCTGCAAGTTTCATTTCCCTGTGACATCTCCTCTGGCAGTGAGGGCGTTGCGAAGTTGCGACATCTGAAGACCGTGCAGAGGTTCACTTATGACGTCATAGGTCAGTGACCTGACCTGACCCAAAAATGCGGTTGGTGTCAAAAGATCCGGCTTGGATCAAAGGTCAGGTATGCCTAGTTTCAGCTCTCTATCGCCAGCGTGTTTGGAGCTATCGCGAAAAAACCCTATGGGGGGGGCGGCACCCGCCCCCCCCCCTCGGCCGGCGAGGGTTAAGACAAATGAAAGGCGTAGATAATTTTCGCTAAAAATCGTTTTGCAGAGGTTTAAAACATTTATATTTTTAAGAATACTGTTGCTTGTCATGCAAACGTGATGATTGGATCTTGGAGAGAATTGAATGCTCTTTCCAATGATAGCAATTTCAATTGTCAAACGTATCAGGTTAAGCAGCAAAATCCGTGTATCTTTTTAGTGGCACATTATGGACAAATACCATTTAATTCAGCGATTTTTTCCACATTGTTTTTGATCAATTAGCTTTTCACAATTTTTCCATGAGAGGCGGTACATTTTTATTGCTAATAGGCGCTGTTTCAACTCATTCCGTCTGACGATCACCTGAAATTAATATAAATTCCAAAATCCGTTTAAAATGGCACTTTTTGAAATGAAATTGCCCTCACACTTGCATGTGGCGCGTGCCACCCCTGCACCGCACACTATTCGATTGCCCGTTCGATTCTCTACACGATGCTGTTTTCCCCGTGCCGATCGGGCGCACGGCTACCGAGATATTGCACGGGGAACGGACCCGTGTCGGGCAAATTTAGCCATTTTCGCCCGTTTTTGCCAGCCGATTTATACATGTAAAGTCTATGACGCGAATTTGCACTTTTTGGGCACGCGCCACGCGCTCGCTATCGATCCGATCGAGCCGAGACCGCTCAAAGGCACGTTGTCCATCCTTGTTCTATAACTTGCGCAAATTTCAGCGCGGTAGGTGCAACGGTGTGACCTGTAACCCGCGCTACGTAGCACCATGTCACGACCTTCGTAATAGACAGAAACTACGCCTTCCTCAAATAGTAATATAGACAAGCGGCTGCGCCACTTGCTTTGCTGCGTGGTCATAAAATGCGGCACCAGCCAATTTCCTTTCGAATGGTGTTCGATTCAAATCGATGCGTCGTCTAGAAGCATAAATATGGACAGAAATGTGAAGAGAATTTAAAAAAGAACTGTTCTGAGGACTTCGTTGGATGAAATTTGGGTGATACGGGGTCAAGACGGGTCGAGGGGGTCACCCCCGGTCACTTTGGGTCAGGCCAGGTCACATAGGTCACCTCCCGTCCCATGGGATCAGCCCGGGCCACACTTCTATTTTTGCCTCCACCACTACCCCTACCCCTACCACTGCCCCTCCCCCTACCACTACCTCTACCCCTACCCCTACCCCTACATCTACCCCTACCCCTACCACTACCACTAACCCTACCCCTACCCCTACCACTACCCCCATACCACTACATCTACCACTACCACTACCCCTACCCCTACCACTACTCCTACCCATACTCCTACCCCTACCACTACTCCTACCCATACTCCTACCCCTACCACTACCCCTACTACTACCCCTACTACTACCCCTACCACTACCCCTACTCCTACTACTACTCGTACCACTACCCCTACCCCTACCCCTACCACTACCCTACCCATACCCCTACCCCTACCCCTACCCCTACCCCTTCCCCTACCAACACCGCTGGGTCATGTCAGGTCACATAATAATTGGATCCAATCAGTACTAAAATATCAGACTTAAAGTGTTCCCAGCCCTGCCCCTATTCGTGCCATTCCATTACGTTTAATCGTATTTGTCGGAAATGACGCCTTGTGGCATATGTGGCGCATTGCGACAAACGCGGCGCATTTTCACCCGACGATTGAGCATGCATCTTGGCACCAAATTGCACCCACATCGGACCATATTTGACAAAACTGTGCGATTTGCGACGAAGATGGAGCCTTGGGACAAATGTGACGCATTGCGGCAAACGTGGTGCATTTGTAAATTCCATCACAAACTGTACCCATTTAGCGACAGTCAACACATTTTTTCGCCACTTTTCATTCAAATTAATAACTTGCCGATCCGCCAATGCGAGGCACTCGCCACCGATCGGCATGCATTTAGCTCACAAAGTTTGTCGACCCCGGCTCTCAATGAAGATCTACGAACCGATCAAAATTTCAGTGGCGTTCTTCCGGCGCGCCCCACGCGCGAACCGTGCACCCCAGCGAGCCGAAACCTAGAAAAGGCGCTGACCCACTCTGTCACCTAGAAGGTGTGCAAATTTCAACCCCTTACGATATACCGTCTGCCCTGTAGGCCGGCTAAATTGAACCCACTACACGGCGTGGCGGACAGACAAACAGACAGACAGATGGATCCTGTTGAAATAGTAAGATAGATTATTTGGTAATTGTAATGAATGTTGATAGAATACAAGTTTTATCTTAGATGATTTTTTTCAACTGCAAGACGATCAGTTCTGAGTTTTCATTTTGTTATGAATGGTCGTGTTTCTGCGTCAAATAACCACAATTATCATTTCTTGTTCTTTTTTTCTCACAAGATTTTTTATCAAACTATAAGAAGAAATTGGTACAATATACCTAGGCCTACGTATGTAACGTCAAACCAATGTCAGTAATATCTGTTGTGTAGTTAGCCGTTTTATTGTATCTGTATTATATGCGGCGCTAATTGGTCTCTGCGTACCTAATAATTAAAACGTTTGTATTATTTCAGGTCCACTACCACCATCACCGCCACCAGCACCACCGGCTCTGGGATCAAGTCCTCCACCAGCACCACCGGCTCCGGGATCAAGTCCTCCACCAGCATCCGTGAGTGGCTGATCTTTGAACCTGAAAACGAAAAACTGATTTTGTATTATAAACAGAGATTTAGTGAGTAATTTCTTCTTCATAATCAGATAAAGTGAAGTACTGTAGTACCAGTATAACGCCTTTTGGGGCGACTAACGGAGCGAGCGAGACGGTGGGCCTTGCACGTGCGAAATTGCGAGGGGGTACCTCCAACTAACTTGTGCACTGCACCCTACTAACCGGTCTCTAGCGAGGTGCCAAATTTGAGCACAATCGGCCCAGCCGTTCTCGAGATCTGGAAGTGGCACCCTGCACGTGCGCAAGTGCAAAATGGGTCCCAACTGACTTTTGCACGGCACCCTACTAACCGGTCCCTAACCATGTGCCAAATTTGAGCGCAATCGGTCCAGCCGTTCTCGAGATCTGGAATCGACCCCTGCACGTGCGCACGTGCAGCAGCACCCCAACTCTGTCACATGGATATGCATTGCCTAGTGGGTGCCTACCTACATGCCAACTTTCAGCGCAATCGGCCAAGTAGTTACCGAGATATTGCAACAATTACAAAAGTGACACCTCCTCGTTTTGCACGTGGCACGTGCATAAGGGGTCACCCACATGCATCGGGAATAGTCCAATACTTGGTAAAAGGAATGAAGCTACCCTACAAAAATTACCGCGTGTAAATCGGTCAAGTGGTTGCTGAGATATCGTAAGCGTCGCAAAAGCGTGACCACGGCCGGCCGGCCGGCCGGCCGCTCATACTCAGAAATTTCCGTTAATCTAAGGAAAGGCTACGCTCGCTTCGCTCGCTCCGTAATTATATCTTTTCAAATACTGATGACGGATTCTGTCGGGAAGCTTCTAATCGTAAGATGTGGTAAGGAAAGAAACCACCGTAATTTATTATACATGCAGCAATCGGGCTCAATTTATAATTTTAATTTGTATTCCTTCCTTTCAGACCATCAACCAGCACCTCCACCAGCACCACCGGCCTCAGCACCAAGCCCGCCACCACCAGCACCACCGGCCTCAGCACCAAGCCCGCCACCAGCGTCCGTGAGTGTCTTATAACATATTGGCCATAAAGGCGTTAGCATTTTATTTTATTCGTAATTTCGAGACACATTAGTAGTTCATTTGTCATCACAAAATGTAGATAGATGGGCCTTACATTGTATTGTAACTAATAGTTTGTCAGTAATGCCCAAAAACGTAAGACGTGTTTAGAAAAGAAATTAGCGATGCTTTTTCTTACAATGTATCACAATTTGAATAAAACATGTGCTGATTCTTTTTCAGGTCATCTACCATCACCACCACCAGCACCACCGGCTCCGGGACCAAGCCCGCCACCAGCCTCCGTGAGTACAGATGCGATATCGGCGGGCACACTGTTTCCTCCTGTACCGCACGTCTCAGTAGTTTGAAATAAGGCAACAGATGGCGCTAGTATATAGCGCCTGAAACATGTTGTGCTGCTCGACTCAGTAGTTATTCATCTCGACAACAGATGGCTCTGGCATACAGCGCCTGAAGCATGCTGTACCGCACGACTCAGTAGTTTCTTATGTCGGCAACAGATGGCTCTGGCATACAGCACCTGAAGAGTGCTGCGCCACACGACTCAGTAGTTTCTTATGTCGACAACAGATGGCTCTGTTATATAGTGCCTGAAGCATGCTGTACCGCACGACTCAGTAGTTTCAGTGTTAGCCAACAGATGGCTCTGGCATACAGCACCTGAAGCATGCTGTACCGTACGACTCAGCAGTTTCAGTGTTAGCCAACAGATGGCTCTGGCATACAGCACCTGAAGCATGCTGTACCGCACGACTCAGTAGTTTCAGTGTTAGCCAACAGATGGCTTTGGCATACAGCGCCTGAAGCATGCTGTACCGCACGACTCAGTAGTTTCAGTGTTAGCCAACAGATGGCTTTGGCATACAGCGCCTGAAGCATGCTGTACCGCACGACTCAGTAGTTTCTTATGTAGCCAACAGATGGCTCTGGCATACAGCACCTGAAGCATGCTGTACCGCACGACTCAGTAGTTTCTTATGTTGACAACAGATGGCTCTGGCATACAGCACCTGAAGATTGCTGTACCGCACGACTCAGTAGTTTCAGTGTTAGCCAACAGATGGCTTTGGCATACAGCGCCTGAAGCATGCTGTACCGCACGACTCAGTAGTTTCTCATGTCGGCAACAGATGGCTCTGGCATACAGCACCTGAAGCATGCTGTACCGCACAACTCAGTAGTTATCCATCTCGACAACAGATGGCTCTGGCATACAGCGCCTGAAGCATGCTGTACCGTACGACTCGGTAGTTTCTTATGTCGGCAACAGATGGCTCTAGCATACAGCGCTTGAAGCATGCTGTACCGCACGACTCAGTAGTTTCTTATGTCGACAACAGATGGCTCTGTCATACAGCACCTGAAGAGTGCTGCGCCGCAGGTCTCAGTAGTTTCTTATGTCGCCAACAGATGGCTCTGGCATACAGCGCCTGAAACATGCCGTACCGCACGACTCAGTAGTTTCTTATGTCGGCAACAGATGGCTCTAGCATACAGCGCTTGAAGCATGCTGTACCGCACGACTCAGTAGTTTCTTATGTCGACAACAGATGGCTCTGTCATACAGCACCTGAAGAGTGCTGCGCCGCAGGTCTCAGTAGTTTCTTATGTCGCCAACAGATGGCTCTGGCATACAGCGCCTGAAACATGCCGTACCGCACGGCTCAGTAGTTTCTTATGTCGGCAGCAGATGGCTCTGACATACAGCACCTGAAGACTGCTGTACCGCACGACTCAGTAGTTTCAGTGTTAGCCAACAGATGGCTCTGCCATACAGCACCTGAAGAGTGCTGCGCCGCAGGTCTCAGTAAATACATAGGGAAGACCACCACCGGCCTCTGATAGCTCGGACACGATGTCATTGGGCACACTGTCGTCCGTGGCTAGTTTCTAGCAAAGGAACGCTTGACGTTGATAATTGATACACAGACAAAACAAATGGAATAATGTGTTCCGTCATTGTCTTGGATACACTTATTTAGATTCGATATACGAAACTGTAAATTGCGACTCTTCTTTGCTGTGTCCAATAGTCGTCTATCTGTGTGAAATGCACCATGAACTTGTTTTTTAGTTGCAGATTTCACGGTTTCGTTATATGTTATCGAAACTTTTTGTATTGTAGTGTCAGACTAATTTTGTTTATTTTGCCGTATACAGTGCTACCGCTCTGTCTGTATGATAAGGTTATCATTTGGTCTGTCATGTACAATAATTCAATCGTTTATATTATTTCAGGTCTGCCATCACCACCAGCCATCACCAGCACCAACACCAGCACCAGCACCATCACCATCACCAGCACCACCGGCTCCGGGATCAAGCCCGGCACCAGCCTCCGTGAGTGTCTGATTTTTTTTTTTATTGAAACCTGAAAACGTAAAACTTGTTCTTCTCGCTATGTTACATACAATATTTTTTTTTCGGTAATTTTTTCTTCATAATCAGATCATGGAAGAATATGTGTATAATAAAATAAAACGCTGTAATATTAAAAAAATAATAAAACGCTGGAAACGGATTCCGTGCCGATTTTGTTGACTGTAGGACTGGTTGAGAGGCGAATCCGCCGTATTTTGTAACAGTTTCATCGGTTTGTGGTTAATTTGTATTTCTTCCCTTTCAGGTCATCTACCAGCACCACCACCAGCACCACCGGCCTCAGCACCAAACCCGTCACCACCAGCACCACCGGCCTCAGCACCAAGCCCGCCAGCAGCGTCCGTAAGTGTCTTATCATCAATTGACCATAAAAGCGTAGTTAACATAACATAACGTAACATATATTACAATGTAACAACAGGCTACAGGAGCCCAACAAGGTTACAAGGATGAAATACACAGTGATGTACACATTCATGCACACTGAACAAGATTTACATGACAATGAATGCAATGAGTGTATCCTAACAACGAAACCTATCAGAGTTGTCTACGTCTTCAATGGTGTCAAAGACCGCACCACGCTCCGTAAAATACAAATCCACGTTATGTTTGAATTTGTTAAGGGAGGAACTATCAATAACCCAAGGAGGTAAGCTATTCCACATATCAATGACGCGGTTAGTAAAAAAGGACTGCCTTAAACGCGTTTTTGAAAATTTCTTTTCCAATTTACATCCATGTCCTCTTGTAGAGTTCGAACTTATCGTGAACAAGCTCTTAAAATCTAGCATATCAATACCTCTATAAATTTTGAACAATTCAATCAAATCACCTCTCACTCTCCGGTAATGGAGTGAAAACATATTTAACGAGACAAGCCTTTCTCTGTAAGTCATCCCGCGAAAACCATGCACCATCCTAGTGGCCTTCCTCTGCACACGATCTAGAGACTTGGCGTCTTTTTTAAAGGGCGAGTACCATGCCTGTGCACAATACTCTAAATGTGGACGAACAAGAGAACAATAAAGTTTTTTCATAACGTCTTTACTTTTATAATTAACGTTTCTATATATTACTCCCAACATTTTCAGAGACTTTTTACGCGCTTCTTGACATTGATGACTGAATTTTAGATCATTTGTGATCAAAACACCTAAATCTCTTTCTTCAAAAACATTTTGCAGTTGACTGCCGTTTAAATAATATCGATCATTTTCATTTACCCCAACGCTAAGAACTTTGCATTTCTCTACGTTAAATTCCATCTGCCATTTTCTGCTCCAATTGAAAAGAATGTTTAAATCTGATTGTAATGTTTTCATGTCCTCGTCTGATGTAATTGCTTTTGCCAGCTTAATGTCATCAGAAAACTTCCAAAGCCTACTGCTTAAATTATTATCCAGAGAGTTTACAAAAATAATAAAGAGCAATGGGGCTAGAACCGAACCTTGTGGTACACCACTCTTAACCTCCGCCCACTCAGACTGTTGTCCATTCAAAACAACTCGCTGCTTACGTCCTACCAGCCAGGTCTCTATCCATCTAAGGAGAAAACCGTCTAAGCCATGACACTGTAATGAAACTAATAATCTTTGATGTGGAACCTTGTCGAAAGCTTTACAAAAATCTAAATACACTACTGCTACCTTCTGTCCCCTGTCTAATAGCTCTGTTACATATTCGATAAAGTCTAGCAAATTTGTCAGACACGATCGTCCAGCTCTGAATCCATGTTGAGAAGGCAATAAAAGTTCATTTTGCTCTAAGTGATTCAGTATATTACATTTTATTATTTTCTCTAGTATTTTACAAGCGATAGAAGTTAAGCTAACAGGCCTATAATTTTCAACCTTAGTTTTACTACCCCCCTTAAAGATTGGTACCACGTACGCATGCTTCCAGTCTTCAGGTATAATACCTGTTTCAAATGAGTGTTTGAATATTATATAAAGAGGCACGGAAAGCTCTTTTGCAGCTTCCTTTAGTATTCTTGCTGAAATAGCATCGGGACCACAAGCCTTATTTGCTTTAAGGTTTTCGAGATGTTTCAAGATGTCGGTTTGAACTAAATCGATAGTTGTAAGTTTGCTGAACAGTCTGGCATCATTTCTACTTATTGGCATATTTGCTAGACACTCATCAGTAAAAACACTTGAAAACTGCTCATTAAATGTCCTAGCTTTGAGCTTATCTTCATGATAAACTTGCCCATCTTTTTCTATTAACCCGATTCTTGGATCATGCCTGTTAAATTTATAAAAACCGAAAAACCGCTTGAGATCACCTCCACATTCATTTGCCAATCTAATCTCAGCTGCTCGTTTGGCCTCTCGAATTATCTTTTTGAGTCTCGATCTGGCTTTGATATAATGCGATTTATTGTCAGTCGATGGAGCTGTTTTGAACAGACGAAATGCTGTTTTCTTTTCACTAAAACTCTTTTGCACATTACTGTTAAACCAAATTGGTTTTAATGGTTTTCCTGACAGCTTTCTTTTCATAGGAATAAAAAGATCTTGGGCCTCTGCTATTGTTGTTTTGAAAATACTCCACATTTCGTGAACATTTTTCCCTTCAAGCATTCGTAACCATTTCATGCTTCTAAAAAATGCCCGAATAGCTTCATAATTTCCTTTTGCAAAATTTTGGGTAAGGTTTTGTCTGATGCTTGTTCTCTTTAATTTACATTTAATGTTGAACCTTATAATCACATGGTCACTGTTACCAATTGTTTCACCCAATGTGACATCTTCAATAAGACTTTCGTTGTTGGTTAAAATTAAGTCAAGTATTTCATCTTTTCTGGTGGGCTCCAGAACATGTTGAGTCAAAAATAGTTCATCAAAGTTTTCCCTGAATAGCCTCGTTTCCCCAGTAATAGATGTTAGACCTCCCACAAGTCTGGGCAAATTGAAATCCCCTAAAAGAATTGTTTCACTGACAATGCCCTTTTCTATCTCGTCAAGCATGGCAAGATTAGTTTGTTGTGTTTGATTGGGAGGTCTGTAGAAAGCACCTATTCTTATTTTATCGTTTTTGCCTAAGTTAGGAAAGATATCGATCCAAAGAGATTCGACGTCGTTGGACGTGCCAATATCGCTCCTCCCTCCTTTAGTTGTTTTATTTTAGTCGCAAGTTCGAGACACATTGATATAGTCTGCTTTTTTGTCATCATACCTATACCGATAGGCCATACTTTGAATTGTCCCAAATATTCAATCAGGAATTATAATTAGCGCAAAACGGGTTAAGACAAAGTGAACGCCATATTTTTCTTACAATAAATAACAAGTAAAACTCAACATGTGCTGATTCTTTTACAGGTCATCCACCAGCACCACCACCAGCACAACCGGCCTCAGCACCAAGCCCGCCACCAGCCTCCGTGAGTACAGACGTGATATCGGCGGGAACACTGTCGCCCGCCTTACTCGTCAATAGGAAATACAATTTTTGGTAATTGTTGTAATGAATGTTGATAGAATACAAGTTTTATCTTTTCCGCGACCACGGCGCTGCTCCAGAACCGCTGTGAACGATCTGAACATTCTCGACTGTGCTTTGGTTCTGTCAATCACTTAAATACTACAGAGTTTAAATTTTATGTATGTACGAGTACGCAATAAATAAGATTAACTTCCCTAGTTTTATCTTAGATGTTTTTTTCAACTGCAAGACGATCAGTTCTGAATTTTCATTTTTACGAGCGAGCGAGCGCAGCGAGCGAAGCGAAGTCTTTTCAATATAACGGAAAAATCTCAGTATGAGCGGCCCGGCCCGGCCCGGCCCGGCCCGGCCTGTAACACTTTTGAGAGGCTTATATCTCAGCAACCGCTGGACCGATTGGCCTGCGGTCTTTTTTGTTGGGTAGCCCCATCCCTTCTACCCCGTAATTGACTACTTTTGATACATCTCAGTGACCATCGTGGCACGTGCCACGTGAAAAGTCAAGGGTGTTCAAGCTGTTTTGCAAAAGTAGTGATTTTGAGAGGCTCATATCTCAGCAGCCGCTATAAGGGCGATTGTCTTGTGGTAGTTTTTGTAGGGCAGCTGCATCCCTTCTACCAAAAATAGGATACTCTCGATGCCATGGGTCACCCCAGTGCACGTGCAAAATACAACAATAAGAGGTGTCAAATTTATTCCCATTTTAATAACTCGGTAATTACTTGGGCGATTTCGCTGAAACTTGGCATACAGGTAGGCACCCGCCAGGCAATGCATTCCCATGTGTTGCAGCTAGGGTGCTACTGCACGTGCGCACGTGCAGGGGGCGTTTCCAGATCTCGAGAACGGCTGGGCCGATTGTGCTCAAATTTGGTACACGGCTGGGGACCGGTTAGTAGGGTGCCGTGCAAAAGTCAGTTTGGACCCCGTTTGCACGTGCGCACGTGCAGAATGCCGCTTCTAGATCTCAGGAACGGCTGGGCCGATTGCGTTCAAATTTGGTTCCCCGCTAGCGACCGTTTAGAAGGGTGCTTTGCACAAGCCCCGTTGGAAGTACCCTCTCGCCCTTCCGCACGTGCAGGGCTCACTATCTCGCTCGCTCGTTCTTTGCCCAAAAGGCGTTTTACTGGTGTTATGAATGGTCGTGTTTTTGCGTCAAATAACCACAATTATCATCTTTTGTTCCTTTTTCTTACAATATTTCTATCAAAATATAAGAAGAGTTTGGTACAATATACCTAGGCCTACGTATGTAACGTCAAACCAATGGTTGTGTGGTTAGCAGTTTTATTGCCTATCTGTATTATATGCGGCGCTAATTGGTCTCTGCATACCTAGTTATTAAAACATTTGTATTATTTTAGGTCCACCACCTTCACCAGCACCGCCACCAGCACCACCGGCTCCGGGATCAAATCCTCCACCAGCCTCCGTGAGTGGCTGATCTTTGATTGAAACTGAAAACGATAATTTTTTTTCCTATGCTGCACATGATATTCTGTCAGTAATTTCTTCTTCATAATCAATGCAATGGAAGAACTGCACTACTGTCCTTACTCAAATATTGATAACTGATTCCGTCATGATTTTTTTCTGACGATTAGACTCTGGTTCAGAGGTGAATCCATTGTATTTTCGAACAGTTGCATCAATTTGCGGTCAATGTTTATTTCTTCTCTTTCAGACCAGCCATCACCAGCACCAGCACCAGCACCAGCACCACCTGCTCCGGAATCACCACCACCAGCCTCCGTGAGTGTTTTAGTATTGTACCTATTGACAGTGAACAGACACGCATGAATTGTGTAATTGTATGTGTTATCAATACATTGATAAAGGATTTGATAGTAATCTCAAACAGCTTTGTGCGTGCTTAGTGTTAGTTTACTTCTACCTTCATCTCATAAATATTGTGAGGAGTCTTGCAAGCGATATACCTGGGCCAGTTGTCATGTCGTCAAAAAAAAAAAAAACTACAAGTTACGATGTACCTAATACCTATACCTACAAATGGTGCAAGTGCTAAATATTTATCTATTGTGTTTCAGATCCCCTGCCAGCTTTGGCAGCACCACCACCAGCACCGCCGGCCTCAGGACCAAGCCCACCACCAGCGGGCGTGAGTTCACCAGCGGAATCTGCTTATTGATGTACACAATTTCCCGGGGTCAATGTCCTGTGTTACGTTCCCCGTGTCCCGTCCCCTTGTATTTTTATATATAAAGTCCTTCTTTGTTATATATGCTAACATAGACTACTCTATGTCAATAATGCAGTTGTCAGCATTACAGTAGTAGTAATAGTAATACAGTAGTGTATGGTGCTAATCAAAGTAAAACTAGTAACATACATGTGACGTCATACATAAATCATCTGGGACAATCATCTGTCCATTTACTGCACTGGCAGGTTGACGGAGGCGGGTGTGCGGCTCTGGCGCAGCTGAGCCGTCGACCGCCGGAGCCAATCCGGCAGTCCGGCATTTCAGCTGCCGCACACTCGCCCGTCACAGGATCAGAGGCCTCCCGAGACAGGTTAGTCTGTGGGACGCTTCTTGTGTGACGCATATTTGTGATTCAACCTTTGTAGTTGCACTTCATGGTAGGTGAATGTTTTTTTCATCATTTACCGGTTAGACCCCTTTGTATTGTCTCTATTTATTTTTGATGGCGGCCCTCAATTTCAGCTTCCCGTTTCCGACCGGCTGAGGCGGGTGAGCGGTGGCGGCGCTCCTGAGACGGTGAAATACAACACACCGCTCTGGTGGTCAGAGACGAATGTGGCGCTCTGTTCAGTCGTTTGTGGCGCAATTTGACGATTTTAGTTCAAAATTAAATAAGCTCCTATTGAGCGTTTGGCATAAGCTTTACTCTTCTGCATTTCCAATATTGATTCAAAGATAGGATCTCAAGGATAGGATATCTCGTAGACGTCCTGTACTTTGTAGATTACTCAAAACTTTGTAGATTGTGTGACAGATAACGAACTACATCGATATGCGATTTTTGGCTTGGCACTAAATTGTAACTGACAAACAATCAACGGTCAAAAGCTAGGTGCTAGATATTCATCTCTGGTCTTTCAGCTCCCGTTCCAGCATTGGCAGCACCACCACCAGCACCGCCGGCCTCAGGACCAAGCCCACCACCAGCGGGCGTGAGTTCACCAGCGGAATCTGCTTATTGTTATGAACATATTGTCCTGGATCAATGTCTCATGCGTCCCTATTCTCGTGTCCCGTATATTTTTATTTCAAATATGTATTTTGGTATTTTTGTGTAGTCCTTTGTATTATGTATTGCGTATTTGTATAAAGTTTATTCTTATAAAGTCATTTTTTTTACATGCCGACCTAGACTACTATATATCGATAATGCAGTAGTCAGCAATATAGTAACTAGTAGTATTAGTAATACAGTAGTCCATGATGCTAATGAAAGTAAAACTGAAAATACGCAGATGACGTCATTCATAAATCACCTGGAATAATAACTTGTCATTTACTGCACCGGCAGGTTGACGGAGGCGGGTGTGCGGCTCTGGCGCAGCTGAGCCGTCGACCGTCGGAGCCAATCCGGCAGGCCGGCATTTCAGCTGCCGCACACTCGCCCGTCACAGGATCAGAGGCCTACCGAGACAGGTTAGTTTCGGGAATGTTTTTAGGGGAGAGGAATTGTTGTTCTGGAATTAATTTTGTAGCTATACTTGATAACAAGCAAGCTGTTGATCGTACCATTTCTCAATCATATCCACCAGTAAAACGCCTTTTGGGCGAAGAACGAGCGAGCAAGAGAGTGAGCCCTGCACTTGCGGAAGGGCGAGAGGGTACTTCCAACGGGCTTGTGCAAAGCACCCTTCTAACCGATCGCTAGCGGTGTGCCAAATTTGAACGCAATCGGCCCAGCCGTTCCTGAGATCTGGAAGCGGCATTCTGCACGTGCGCACGTGCAAACAGGGTCCAAAATGACTTTTGCACGGCACCCTACTAACCGGTCCCCAACCGTGTACCAAATTTGAGCGCAATCGGCCCAGCCGTTCTCGAGATATGGAAGCGCCCCCTGCACGTGCGCACGTGCAGTAGCACCCTAACCCCAACACATGGGAATGCATTGCCTGGTGGGTGCCTACCTGTATGCCAAGTTTCAGCGAAATCGCCACAGTAATTACCGAGTTACTGAAATGGGAACAAATTTGGCACCTCTTCTTTTTGCATTTTGCACGTGCAGTGGGGGTCACTCACATAGATCAAGAGTATCTGACCTTAGGTAGAAGGGATGCAGCTACCCTATAAAAACTACCGCAAGGCAATCGCCCAAGCCGCTGCTGAGATATGGGCCTATCAAAATCACTACTTTTGCAAAACTGCTTGAACACCCTTGACTTTTCACGTGGCACATGCCACGACGGTCACTGAGATGTATCAAAAGTAGTCAATTACGAGGTAGAAGGGATCTTTTTTGCTGGATAGCCCCTATCCAGCAAAAAAGACCGCAGGCCAATCGGTCCAGCGGTTGCTGAGATATAAGCCTCTCAAAAGCGTTACAGGCCGGGCCGGGCCGGGCCGGGCCGGGCCGCTCATACTAAGATTTTTCCGTTATATTGAAAAGACTTCGCTTCGCTCGCTGCGCTCGCTCGCTCGTTACCAATTTAAAGATCTCTAATGAAAACATTAATTTTAGCTATCTCATTTCAGGTGCAGCTGAAAAGGTGAAAGACACCTCACCGCTCCTCGGGTGGTAAGAGTCCAATGTGAAATTGGAGGACGATTGAAGAGTGTTGTGTTAGCACAAGTGGAGTTTTACTCCATTTGGAGGCAATAATTTCATTAAATAACTGTTAGCCTGACGTTTGACATATGCTTTATTCTTCTGCATGTCGAGTATCAAGTCGTATATAGAATATCGAGGAGGATATCGAGTTGACATGCTGTATAAAATTGATTCATAAAATACATTTGTAAAAAGTGACGAATTACAATGCTCTGACGTATGCGACTTTTTTTTGCACATGAATAACCTGCCACTAAACACAAATCAATTGTCTAGGTTCTGAAAGTACATCTATCGTCTTTCAGGTCCCCTGCCAGCATTGGCAGCACCGCCACCAGCACCGCCGGCCTCAGGACCAAGCTCACCACCAGCGGGCGTGAGTACACCAGCGGAATCTGCTTATTGTTTTTTTTTTTTTACAAATTGTCCGGTTATCGTGTCCCGTGTTCCGTGCCCCGTTCCATGTCCCGTCCCCATGTCCCGTTTTCGTGTCCTGTTTCCGTGTCCCGTTTCAGTTTTGTGCTTTATCAGGTCCACCTTACGTTCATTCTAAATAATTTCGACTACATGAATCTCAAAACACCATTCATAAATCAGCTGGAATAATCACCTGTCCATTTACTACACCGGCAGATTGACGGAGGCGGGTGTGCGGCTCTGGCGCAGCTGAGCCGTCGACCGCCGGAGCCAATCCGGCAGTCCGGCATTTCAGCTGCCGCACACTCGCCCGTCAGAGCATCAGAGGCCTCCCGAGACAGGTTAGTTTGGGGGACGGTTTTTTGAGAGAGGAATTGATGTTCTGGGATTAACCCGCACCCCACTGGGGGGGGGGGGCTATTCATAGCTCCCCTACCGTTTTTCTTCAATAACTTCCAAACCGCTACCATAGGTCGGCCGAAAATGACGTCAGAGTGACGGCATGTTCGGCCGATTTCGACGCAAAACATTGAACCACGGCAGTCGCTCCCAAGGGCTCAGTTTTTAACCCGGCAGTTGCTGGGGTATTTCGCCACCCACCGTTTGCTGGGGGGGGGGGGCGTTAAACGCCCCCAGCCGATAACTCGAGAACCAATAGGCGCAGCGAAACGCACGAGGCGGCAAACGAAAGAGCGCGACGAGACGCTTCAGATGAGTACTTTAAAGCTGAATTTTGAGGTCACAGGTCGGGTCAAGGTCAGGTCAAACACCTGAAATCGGGCTTTCAGTAGCATGGACTTCAGGACTTCGCAATGGGCGCCTCTCGCCATAAACTCTGTCAAAACGGTGCACAATCCATCTTATAAGGCCTACAAGAGTGTCAGCTTCATATAGGGGTCAGTCAAGCATAGGTCAGGGTCAAGGTCAGGTCAACCGGGTAGGCACATATCCCCGAAAATCAAAACTAATATTCGCAGCCTGTGACACATGTTTTATAGGTAATTTGGGGCGTAGAACACGATGGTGACATTCATTTTATCATATGTGTACGTGTTTGGCTCAAAAAGTTCAATTTAAGAAATTCATGCATCATGGTCGTGAAGTAGTCACGAAAAATTGCCAAGATTCAGTTCAAGATTTTGGAAAATGCGGAACGATAATCAATAATCGAAGATAGCCATTTGATTGATCATGGTATTGGCAGTCTAATGGCGTTTACGGCATGTCTGTACGTCTATTCTGTGATTTTATATGATTTTTTTAACATATGCCGTTTTTGGTCGAAAACTCAGAAATCATGACGTCACTAAAACCTCGATATCTCAAAAATTTTCCGACCGATTTTTTTGAAACTATGTCACAATAAACTTCAATCAATTCCCTACAGGAACCCAAAATTTGGCGCGCCTGCGGCGCGCCGTTTTTATGCTATGGCCCGGCGAAAAAAGTGGGGGCGTTTAACGCCCCCCCCCAGCAACTCGCGGGTTAACCCTATTCCTGGCGGGCTCCGCCGGGACAAGAAACTGGCGGGGGGGGGGGCGATTCGGCCCCCCCTGAGATCTCGAGAACGAAGCAAGATAGCGACAAACGGTAAACGGCATCGGATACGCACGGTCAAGATCTACAATTTTTACTAAGGTCATTTTCAGGTCAGGTCAGAGATGACGTCACAGGGGTCGAAAAAGTCAAAATGGCGGCGCTAGATATGGAGAGAGTTTTTCTCGAATAACTTTCGAATTAGTCAAGATAGGAACAAACTAAGGGCATCATCGTGATCCTCTCGTCAATCCGCATCGAATGATATATATATATTGACCTCGCAAGGTCAAGGTCAAAGGTTGACCTCAGGTCACGTGACCTCGAGGTCATCATGTATATCATTCGATGCGTCTTGACGAGCTGAACACAATGAGACCATCCACGCGTCTGTATCTTGTTCTTGTACGGAGTTATTGGCCAAAAACCTTTGGTGACCTTTGATGACGTCACATGACCTCACAGCTGCCCAACAGCAAAACAGACCTCAAGGTAGTGAAGGTTGATCGTATATGAAGTCATGTATGGTATCTGGGGCCATTCCGACCCGTTTTAGTGGTAAAAACAGGGAGTTGATTTTTCCCCCATTGACTTATAATGGGGAGGTCGCGAAACTGACCTGACCTTAGGTCACCGATATCAAAATTCCGAGATACACAAATTGCACATACTGGTACCCTAACTAAAGCCTGAAGAGAAGAAATTGATCGGTCAAAAACTCTAGCTCTGGCGTGATTGCAAACTTTTCTGAGGTAGGGTCACCAAACCGCCTCTGGTGACCTGACCTGAGGTCAGATCAACTCAAAATTTTCAGACATGTTGCGTAGAAGCCTTTTAGGAAAGGTCAGAAAATTTGAGCTTCCTAGCTCAACGCGTTTGGGAGGAATAACCAAAAAACCTCAGTGGGGGGGCTCCTGAGGCCCCCCCCGCCAGGAATAGGGTTAAGCTAGATCCAATTTCTTTGCATGAGAGGACGCAGAATGGACTGCGCTATCAAACTGCTATCTCGGATTTTCGAAAGTTTGAAATTTCGAAAATTTTATATAAAACAATATAAAAAAATTCAAAATTTACTTTTTTACATTTTTTAAAAAAGTTTTTGACTTTTCGAAAAAACGGAATATATGTGATAGAACGCGTTATTATGACTAACTCTAGCAAGTTTTAGCTAAATATCTTCAAAAATGGCAAAGTTATACGCATTATTGCAAAAAATCACAATTATTAATATTTCAAATCAATTTTTCAGCACGTATTTGACATCGTACGCCAATAAAATAGCACCATCGTGGTCCTGAGCTAAAACTGCATCCAATAAACACCTTTTCTGTTGAAAAATTATAACTTCAAAATTTGACCTTTTTTGACCTGACCTTGACCTGAAAATCAAAGTACAAGTTTGGTACCCTCAGGGTATCTAGAGCATCTGTTCACGAGTGTGTGAATCAAAAATGAGCCTGATCTGATTTGTAAGACGGCGGCCAGAGCCCAAAACGTGAACAAGCCAAAATGCTAATAATTTTTACTTTGACCTGACCTGTGACGTCATCGGTGACCTCGAGGTCAATGAACTTAGGTTTCGCTCGACAGTTGTTCTGGGGCTATCAGACGCCGTTTGAATTTTGACGATCGGCCCAGTAGTTTTGGAGTTAGGAGGGGGGCTATGAATAGCCCCCCCCCCAGTAGGGTGTGTTATACGCCGACCCCAGTGGGGCGCGGGTTAACCCTCGCGGGCCCGGGGGGGGGGCGTTTTTCGCCCCCCCTGGCGAATATTTGCGATAGCTCCCGAACGCTTAGAGATAGGAAGGCGAAACTTTCAGTACCTTTTCTCCCATCAATTTGACATCTTCTGAAGTAAAAAATTTGGACCTAGCCCCCTTGATGACGTCACAAGGTCCATTTTTCTAGACCCCTGCACGGCAAACTTCGGCGTCACAGACGCAAACTTCAAATAGCTGCTAAAAATAGAGTTTTAGAGATAAAGACAAATTACGAGCACGGTTGTGTAGCGTTTGACCTAGAGAAAAATAGAAAAATAGTTTTGGTGACCTGAGGTCAGAGGTCAGGTCAACGACCCCGAAATGTGGTTTTAGTTTTTCGCAAATAACTTCGACAAAAATGGTCCTAGAGCTACGGCAGTGGTACCATCGCATTCGCCTTGTCAAGCCGCGTCGAATGATATATATTTTGTTCGGAAAAGGTCAAATTTTAAGTTGACCTCATGTGACCTCGAATGACCTCTGGTTGACCTTGACACATGAAAGGTCGTTTATGATGGATTTGTACCCGCTGATCACGAATCTGGCATCTATTTTCCTCTAAGCCTTCATTTAGAGCTTCCGCATTGCAAAATTGTCTTATTTATTATTACCAACTTGAATCAGTGAAATAGCCTCTAGCAGGGATACTCTTCTGTGACCTTGACCTTTGAGCAGCCTTGTATCGTAAGATGAACCACAAATAGGGAACTGATAAGCCTCAAAACATTTCAAAACATCTTGGAAGTTAGCACACAAGATATGCGAAAAAGTGCCAAGTTTGAGGTCAATTTTGAGCGTGACCTTGACCTTGACCTTTCACTTTGAGCACATTTTCAGAATCCTCATATTCTCTTCTTTCGTTTGACAGCCAATTTTGCCGGTTTGATGCAGCCTGCCGTCCTCTAGAAGGCTTACTTTGAGATCACTACACATGTGGCGGTTTTTGCCTTTGACCTTGACCTCTGACCTTGAAAATTGACCTGAGGTCAAAAATCTTAGGTGCATTAGAATCGTCTCGTAAGGACCTTTCGTTTGGTATCGCTTTTGTTTCCGTAGCTCCCTTATTTACGGAGTTAGACAGGGGGGGCGAAAAACGCCCCCCCCCCGGGCTGCGGTGGTTGGGATTACCCCCCGGGCCCGGCCGGGTTAATTTTGTTGCTATACTTGATAACAAGCAAACTGTTGATCATACCATTTCTCAATCATATCCACCAATTCATAGATCTCAAATGAAAACATTTATTTTAGCTATCTCATTTCAGGTGCAGCTGAGAAGGTGACAGTCGCCACACCGCTTCTCGGGTGGCAAGAGTCCAATGTGAAATTGGAGAACGATTTAAGAATGTTGTGATAGTACAAGTGAAGTTTTACTCCATTTTTAGGCAGTAATTTCATTTAATTACTTTTAGCATGACGCTTGGCATATGCTTTATTCTTCTGCATATCGAGTATCGAGTCGTATATAGAATATCGAGGAGGGTATCGAGTAGACGTGCTGTAGAAAATTGATTCATAAAAGACATTTGTAAAAAAAGTGACGAACTACAATGCTCTGACGCATGCGACTTTTTTTGCAAAGAAATAAGCTGCCAGTTGCCACTAAACACAAGTCAATTGTCTAGGTTCTGGTAATACATATATCGTCTTTCAGGTTCTCTGCCAGCATTGGCAGCACCGCCACCAGCACCGCCGGCCTCAGGACCAAGCCCACCACCAGCGGGCGTGAGTTCACCAGCGGAATCTGCTTATTGATGTACACATATTTTTATGTGTCAATGACCTGTGTTCCGTTCCGTGTCCCGTCCCCGTGTACCTTTTTTATTTAGTCCCCTTTACGTGAAAAATAAATAAATACAACTAGGAACATGCCGATCATATCATAGATAAATCAGCTGGAATAACCACCTGTCCATTTACTATACCGGCAGGTTGACGGAGGTGGGTGTGCGGCTCTGGCGCAGCTGAGCCGTCGACCGCCGGAGCCAATCCGGCAGTCCGGCATTTCAGCTGCCGCACACTCGCCCGTCACAGCATGAGAGGCCTCCCGAGACAGGTTAGTTTGGTGGACGATTTTTTGCATGATGCATGCCTGTTTATGTTCCAACGTTTGTGAATATAATTGATACGAGGCGATTTGTAGTTAGCAGCATTCACAAATGACACCAGACCCATAATTATTGCATTACCAGTCCCCGTCATGACTCGTTTCCCTTCCGCTGGTGGCGTCGCCAGCTCCCCGCGCGGCCAGCTGTCGCCATGACGGTGACCAGAGCCCGGGGACAGACGCTCGGTCGGGTGTCCGTCTCTCTGAAGGAGCCAGTGTTCAGCCGCGGGCAGACAGATGTACGTGGGCCAACAAATGGAAAACTGACATGTGCACATGTTATCGGAGCTGGCTTGGGTGACCTTCCCAGCTCGAGCATACGTTATGATTTATCAGAATGTAAACCAATCTATTCACTGACATATTATGGAAAAATATATGATAAAACGCCAGTCGTTGTACGGCAGTGCCCTGACCCACCGGTATATTTTCAGCCATCACGATCAGCTGGTGTAGGCCATCCACGACAGATGAGTGCTATACAAGCCTGCCTCCGCCGTGCTTGGAGAGATGACTCACCCAACGGCCGTTTGTGCCGCCACCAATCGGCTGCGAGTAGCACACACCGAGTGCTACTCGGGGCCGGATGGCTGCCGTGTCTTCCCTCAGGACATGGTGGGCTCTGCACTACCTGAGGGGTCTCGGGCGATAACAGAGACGCAGTCCGATGTGGCAGCCTCCACGTGGCGGATTGCGGGTCATGCTAATAGCCACACAGAGCCACACGTAAGTATTGCACTGTAGTATTCACCAGATTTGAGTGTGTTACAGGAACCTGACATGTGACGTCACCTGTACCGCTGTTTCCGCTTCTAATGACGACGTGGTCAGGTGTCGGCTCTGCTGCAGTGTCCAGAGGACGCACGGGTTCTCCGACAGCATCATCTTGGTCACGGTGGCGACTGTATCCGCCAGTGGGGGTGGTATTCAGGAGATCACTAACCTCTCGTCCTATTCTCCTCTCCATGCGGTGTACTCGACAACCACAGGTTCCCGACCAGACTGGCAGGCGGCGCTAGTGTCGCTGACGTGCTCTGTCTGCGGCTCTGTGCTCCCTCCTCTGTCCGCTGCTCCTGTTGCTCTACCCAGACCTCACAGGTGGGTCCCCCTCTTCTGGTGGTGTCTACTACACACATTGTCAGATGGCCGGTACAGTGATAAGTAATGGACAGTGCACAGTGGACCGTGGTGCAATATATATTGACGATAAACCAGTCTGTGTTGTTTGTCACGCAGATGTTGTTTACTATTTATGGCGACTCCGTTTGCTGTGTAGTGTGTGTATCACACATATCATCTATGGTGTTTGTTGTGTGTTTGTTGTGACTCTGTGGTGTTTGTTGTCTGTTACAGCTCCGGCCCGTACCGACATTGACTCACGACGAGTCTACTGAGTCATACAGAGTCATGACTCAGTCAACCGCCGAGCACCACACAGGGAGGTCGGAGAGGTCACTGGAGAGGTCGGTGGGTCTGGATGAGGTCACTGGAGAGGTCGGTGGGTCTGGGTCAGGTCACTGTAAAGGTCGTTGGGTCTGGGTGAGGTCACTGTAAAGGTCGGTGGGTCTGGGTCAGATCACTGAAGAGGTCGATGGGTCTGGATGAGGTCACTGGAGAGGTCGGTGTGTCCGGGTCAGGTCACTGTAGAGGTCGGTGGGTCCGGGTGAGGTCACTGTAGAGGTCGGTGGGTCCGGGTGAGGTCACTGTAGAGGTCGGTGGGTCCGGGTCATGTCTCGTCTCATCCCCGTACACGGCGGTACCTCACCGCCGCCCGGTCTCCCCTCCCCCTCGACGGTATGGCCGCGCGGTGCCCGACCCGTGGCTGGCCAGCCGGCGGCAGCTGGGCTCGGCTGGGCCCGGTGGTGGGCGCCGGTCCACCGGCGAGCCGCCCCCCCCCCCCCCCCCGCCGAGCCGAGCGGCGTCCAGCAGTAGAGTTCTGCACGGCTGCAATTTTCGACAGCCTAGCCGCCCCACAGGCGTGGCTCCACAGCCACAGCCGCCCACAGCCGTGGCAAACTGTGGGCAGCCAGCCGTCAGCCGGCCGTGGATACTTTCAATGAAATACAACCAAATAGTATATAATCAAATAGTATATTAGGTATATAAGCTCTTTTTAGAACATATAGGCTATAGCCAAACAGGGGCTCCGCCACGGTTTTGGGATGGAGGGGGGTGGGGTCCGACCCAAAAACAAAACCTCGCTGGCGGATCCAGGGTAGGCATTTTGGGCGAATTCATCCCCCCCCCTCCCTGCAGCTCCCGAAATCGATGAAAAATTGGCGTTTTTCCAGAGTTCAAACAAAACCTAACCTTTTTTTCGGAGGAATTTTGGTTTAAACCGAAAAACCAAGGTTTAATTTCCACAAGGAATCGAAAACCGAGACGCTGAGCCCACTGACACCGACGTCCGACATTGCGGCTTCTCAAATCAACGTTCTTGAGGAATGGAGGTCGCTGTTGCTCGCTCCAAGGGCGATGTTAGCCATCAGACAGCGCATTAGGCTCTCAGTGACTGGCATGGGCTTGGGAATTCAGGGACCTTCATAGGCGCTCAGACGTAGGTTCTTAGGCCAGTATCGGGTCCTCCAAGGTCGTAGTTAAAACGCGCACCGACGGGGGGCGGATATCCGCCCCCTGAGGTTTTTCGCGAATAGCGGGATACGCGCCGCGAAATTTGGTTTAACTATTCTCTCATCAATTTTACACGTGGTGTGCAAGTTTGAACCTCGTAACTTTTAAGGTCAGGTCACCAGGTCACTTTGAATGACCCAACCTCAAGTCACTTTTTTGCAACTTTGTCACCGTGCCAGAGCTACAGTAGATGTCGGAGGCCTTTGAAAGTCGCAGGATGTTATTAGGTCATTAGTAGCTACAATTTGTATATCTCGGAATTTTGATGTCGGTGACCTAAGGTCAGGTCAATTTCGCGACCTCCCCATTATAAGTCAATGGGGGAAAAATCAACTCCCTGTTTTTACCACTAAAACGGGTCGGAATGGCCCCATATACCATACATGACTTCACATACGATCAACCTTCACTACCTTGAGGTCTGTTTTGCTGTTGGGCAGCTGTAAGGTCATGTGACGTCATCAAAGGTCACCAAAGGTTTTTTGCCAATAACTCCGTACAGGAACAAGATACAGCCGCGCGGATGGTCTCATTGTGTTCAGCTCATCAAGACGCACCGAATGATATACATGATGACCTCGAGGTCACGTGACCTGAGGTCAACCTTTTACCTTGACCTTTCGAGGTCAACATATATATCATTCGATGCGGATTGACGAGAGGATCACGATGATGCCCTTAGTTTGTTCCTATCTTGACTACTTCGAAAGTTATTCGAGAAAAACCTCTCCATATCTAGCGCCGCCATTTTGACTTTTTCGACCCCTGTGACGTCATCTTTGACCTGACCTGAAAATGACCTTTGTAAAAATTGTAGACCTTGTCCGTGCGTATCCGATGCCGTTTACCGCTTGTCGCTATCTTGCTTCGTTCTCGAGATCTCAGGGGGGGGGGCGGTCATCCGCCCCCCCGTCGGTACTAAGTTGGCGCAGACCCCCGTCGGTGCGCGGGTTAACCCGCGCACTGGAGTTAAACGGCCAGCCTGGGGCAGAGATTCACGCGCTGACGCCGCACCCGTGGTCCGATTGCGCCCATCTTTTGATACGATGGTCCGCCCCACCCAAAGTTTTTGCCCAATAAATTTCACGTCGATACGCGGCGCCGTTCCGGCGCAAGAAGACACATAAGGCTGACGGATGGACAGACAACTTGAAATTTATTAACCTTCGTTAACCTTCGCCCCAGTGGGGGGGGGGGGGCATATGTTACCACCCTGTCGCGTTTTTTTTGCGTGTGAATGAAAAACCGCGGTGCGTAGCGCCGCGCCGCTTGGAGTACTTTTTGTACATCAATTTTGGACAATGTGTGAAATTTTTGACCCTGGCCCTTGCCCGCACATGGGGGGGGGGGGGGTTGCCACCCCCCGGTAGTCTTTCTGCTCTGCACTCAACATTTTTAGAGCTAGAAGGCTGATTTTTCGTATAGCTGCTCCTCTATCCTTTCTTGATGTCCACTGAAAATTTCAAGTTTCTGTGAGTTTTGCTTTCGAAGATAGGTATGACCTTGTTTTTCAGGTCATGGCATAACCCAAATGGCCAATTCTCAACATCTTGCATTTGCCATGGGCCTTGTGAGCTTTTGACACCTTGATTTCGACCTTTTTTGCCAGTCTTACCTCCCACCTACCATGGAACATGTTGTTCGACGATGTACAGGTGTCAAGGTCAGGTTCAAGGTCAACCTAGGTCATCTAAGATAATTGCGTTTTAGGCAAGCTGAATTTACTTTTTGTGAAGTTTTTTGACTGCATTTTTGGTAAACTAGCTTCTCAGATCATAATTTCATGTATTATGGACACAAAAACAATCGATGCACACATAAGTATACACACAGACACACACATACACATAAACACATATCATTGACCTTGACCTAACTTGACCTGAAATGACCTCAGCAGCAAAAATCTGGTCGGGTAGTGTGTCAAAGAGGTTCTAGCTGGCTTGGCACCAGAAAACAGCATCGTCATCGGTATGATAAGCAGCGCATTTGATATCCAACGGTGACCCAAAACAGCAACATTTTTTAGTTTGACCTGACCTGGAAGGTCAATGACTGACCTGAGAAGGTAAAACTGGGTATCATTGGATTCGTCTCTTCCCAAAGAATCTTTTTGGTCTTTACCGCTAAGCTCTATCTCCAACAGGAACGAAATGGCGCGGGGGGTGGCAACCACCCCTTCCATGTGCGTTCTAGGATGGGAAAATGGCATGTGCGGGCGAGGGCTAGGTCATCTCAGGTCAGGTCACCAGGTCAAGTTAACTGACCAAGCCTAAAAAAGTTTGCAATCATGTCCAGCCTGAAGTATTTGTCAGAAAGGTTTTAAACTTTGTGGATTGCATGATGTTATAGGCGCCTACAATTTGCATATCTCGGATTTTTTTTTATATCCGTGATCTAAGGTCAGGTCAGTGGCGTGACCATACCATTATAAGTCAATGGAGAAAAATGAAAATGCCTCTAGATCCGTGTGTACGCATAGGAACAGTCCAACTATTTCAGAATCACAATGATTTGGACCACCCGTGACGACCAAGGTGTTTTTTTTTTGCTGATAGCCTCTAGAAAGGTCATCCGAGGTCATTTGAGGCTACAAACAGATTTTTGCCAATAACTCGCGATTGGAAAGAGATAGGACGCTGGGGATGCCCTCATTGTGTTTGTCTTGTTGAGACACATCAAATGATATGCAATATGACCTTTTCCGGTCAGGTCATGACATTGACGTGAGGTCAAATTTTCAAGTTGACCTTTCAGGGTCAGATTTTAGTTCTTTCGACGCGTCTCGGCAAGAGGAACACGATTCTGGCAATAGAAATGTTGTGGCTTTTTTGAGTCAAAAGTTATTGTCGAAAAACTCATTTCGT